ATTATAGGTATTGTTCACGCGTCTTTAGTTCGATCAAGAATGGCTCAAGAATCGTTCATTAGTTTATATAAAATCCCACCCGATAAAACATCCCCTCCAGGTGATTAAAACATACATCATTAGGTCAGGAAAGGCGGCAGTGTCATCGGCTACATACTGTACTCAACCTGATGTAAATATTGTATTCATAACTCCCCATTTGGCTGTAGAACAATGTACCTCAACCTCTGTGTCACCTGGTGTATATTTCAACACCTTGGATATAATACGACCTCTCTCTCTCTCTCTCTCTCTCTCTCTCTCTCTCTCTCTCTCTCTCTCTCTCTCTCTCTCTTATGTTGGATGGGGGAGAGGGGTGAATTTCATACAAAACTTTCATTCATTCAGTCAAATATTCATTCAGTCAGTCAGTCAGTCAGTCAGTCAGTCAGTCAGTCAGTCAGTCAGTCCACAGAGAAGATCCGTCAGACACAAGTATTGTTTCGTGAGTTTTAATCTGTTAATATATTAATCTGTTGACCTTGATAATGACCCTGTTAACCCGTTATAGGAAGTTAGGTCAATATTCAGAGTTAAAATAGACCTCTTCATGCTGACCTCGTCCAACTTGTCGACCAGCTGTAACGTCGAAGGTCACGGTCAGAGGTCACGGTCAGGAAGAGAGGTTTTCCACGGTGCTGTAAACTATTTTTGTGTCACTCCTTGCTCAGGATGCAAGAGTGTGCCCAATAAACTAGCCCCCTAGTGGAGCAAATTATATAATTATATAACTGTGGCTTTTGTTGATTAGTTGACATATATAGCGTGTGTGTGTGTGTGTGTGTGTGTGTCTGTCTTGTGTGACAGTAGTAATGTGTCAATGTCTGTCTGTCTGTCTGTCTGTCTGTCTGTCTGTCTGTCTGTCTGTCTGTCTGTCTGTCTGTCTGTCTGTGTCTACATATTTTGGTCAGTAAAAAATATCTCATTATAACAAGAGTATAAAAGTTGGGAAGGAAATTAAACCTTGCTCTTTATGCGTCGCCATTGTTCATGTGATCTCACCTAACCTAACACTAATCTAACTCTCCAAATTAATTCATTAACACCAAAATATTATTCGCTTTACACTGTCCTATATTATAAGAGAATTTATTTACTATACATGCAACATTTAGCTCAACCTATAGTACAGGTAGCTAACGCAAATGTTGTTGTTGTTGTTGTATTGTTGTAGTTGTATTATTGTTGTTGTAATTTTACTTCCCATTTTTATAGAGTTTATCAAATTTATCCGTGTCATCATTTTCTTTTCGTTTATTTAAGCTATTTTGTAGGATTATTTTAAACACTCGTGAACAATACTCAATGAAAATTAATTTAACTCACTAACAACCTCTATAACTCAATAAAACCTCTATAACTCACTAACAACCTCTATAACTCACTAACAACCTCTATAACTCACTAACAACCTCTATAACTCACTAACAACCTCTATAACTCACTAACAACCTCTATAACTCACTAACAACCTCTATAACTATCTAACAACCTCTATAACTCACTAACAACCTCTATAACTCACTAACAACCTCTATAACTCACTAACAACCTCCATAACTCACTAACAACCTCCATAACTCACTAACAACCTCCATAACTCACTAACAACCTCCATAACTCACTAACAACCTCTATAACTCACTAACAACCTCTATAACTCACTAACAACCTCTATAACTCACTAACAACCTCTATAACTCACTAACAAACTCTATAACTCACTAACAACCTCCATAACTCACTAACAACCTCTATAACTCACTAACAACCTCCATAACTCACTAACAACCTCTATAACTCACTAACAACCTCTATAACTCAGTAACAACCTCTATAACTCACTAACAACCTCTATAACTCACTAACAACCTCTATAACTCACTAACAACCTCTATAACTCACTAACAACCTCCATAACTCACTAACAACCTCTATAACTCACTAACAACCTCTATAACTCACTAACAACCTCTATAACTATCTAACAACCTCTATAACTCACTAACAGCCTCTATAACTCACTAACAACCTCTATAATTCTCTAGTAACCTCTATAACTCTCTAATAACCTCTATAACTCACTAGCAACCTCCATAACTCACTAACAACCCTAACTCTAATAACCTCCATAATCTTACTAACAACCCTATAACTCACTATCAACCTCAACTCTAACAACCTTTATAACCTACTAACAACCTCTATAACTCGCTAATAACCTCCATAACTCATCACCAACAACCTCTATAACTCACTAACAAACTCCCCAGGTAACTCACAACAACCTCCATAACACACTCAATGTCTCCCATAACTCACCAACAACCTTCATAAACTCACCAACAAACTCCATAGAATCTACCAACAACCTTTATAACTCAGCCAACAACCTCTATAACTCGCCAAGAACCCCATAACTCACCAACAACCCCTATAACTCACTAACAACCTCCATAACTCACCAACCTCTATAACTCACTAACAACTCCTATAACTCACTAACAACTCCATAACTCACTAACGACCTCTATAACTCACCAACAACCTCTATAACACACGAATAACCCCCTATAACTCACTTCAACAACCTCTATAACTCACTAACAACCTCTATAACTCACTAACAACCTCTATAACTCACTAACAACCTCTATAACTCACTACAACCTCTATAACTCACTAACAACCTCTATAACTCACTAACAACCTCTATAACTCACTAACAACCTCCATAACTCACTAACAACCTCTATAACTCACTAACAACCTCTATAACTCACTAACAACCTCTATAACTGACAGGAATATTGGCCAAGATAAGTTTCCCACTAAAAATTCCGTACCACAACATACGGTCTGAATATTAAATGCAAAAACAATAATAAAAACTGAATAAATAAGACGACAATATGTGTAGGAAAGGCGAGCAATTCTGACCCCTTGTGAATACTGTTGTGATGAGAAATTCAATATTTGGATTAGTTATTGGTTTTGCTGGTAAATTGTAGTCTGTCTGTCTGTCTGTCTGTCTGTCTATATGATTCCATTATCAATATTCTCTCTCTCTCTCTCTCTGGTTTTGCTTATTGCTAAATATTTCATCTATTTTATCTCCCCTCACGTACCTCGAGATTTACAACACTTATCTTGTTATTACTTCAGGGTTGAATTAAGGTCGGGGGATGGGACGATACTGTTTGTGTGTGTGTGTGTGTGTGTGTGTGTGTGTGTGTGTGTGTGTGTGTGCAGAGGTTGTTAGCGGCATCAAAACTATACAATGGCTTAGGAGATGAGGTGATTAACGCCACATCACAGTAACATTAACGTACCTATCTTAACCTAACCTAATCTAACTTTAACCACTAGTTCGATAATATTCCCATTTCGATACACTAACCATCTCGTGTAGGTGGTGTGGTGTGGCGGATGAGTGGGTACAGATGTCGCCCTTCTCATCTACGTTCACTGGTTCACGTCTGGTATACCCCTTGTCAACCCAGCTGTGAAATGGTACTAATGGTCTAATTTTCAGTGTGCTGTATCCACGCCGCCTCTCACTGACCATCAGGCTGACAGTAACCACTTCCACATGTCAGGGGATAACGTAACGATACCGGAATGATATCAGCTGCAAGAATACCTCACCTAACCCAACTTAACCTAATTTAATCTAAAACCTAGCCAAAACTAACGTAACCTAACGTAATCTAATCTAACCTAACCCAACCTAACCCGAGTCTAACTTATTCAAACCTAGCTTAATCTAACCTTATTTAACCTAATCTAAGCTAACCCAACCCATGTTAGAGCATAGAGGCGACAGGACTAATTCCGTGTCGCGAAAATACAAGGTCACTTACAAAATAAAAATACGGGTTATAAATGGAGGGGATTATGGGTAAGTGTGACTCATTTAGCAGAATAGTGACATGACAACGGGACCCAGGCAGCGTGACAAACATTTAATGACAACGTGAATGACAGTGTGTGTGTGCAGTCATTGGTGTTACAAGTTGTGTTGGTATTGATCTTCTTCTGGTTAGGTTAGGTGAGGTTTGATTAGGTTAGGTTAGGTTTGATTAAAGTAGTTGTTTTGGATCTGTTTAGGTTAAGGTACGGATAATTATTTTACCTGTACTGTCTTTACCAATTCATTTTGGTTTTTTGGGTGTACAGTAATTATGTAATTCTTGGACATACAGTATATCACCATCTATATCTGAGTTGATATACCAACGTTATATAATTTTATATATAATTAATCTTTTAATTAAGTGACGTCAAATGATTTAGTTATATAATAATGGGATATATTCATCTTCATATCTACCTTAAGGCAACACATGAACGGTCATCACCCTACCTGTACTCTATACTTAATTAAGCTTTACACCTGTATATCTTAATAAACTATCTGGCTTTAATCCCATTACCCAAATTTCTAATATATCGATAAATTGGCCACTTGATAATGGCTTCTCAGTTTAAATTCTTTGCCCAAATTTCGAATAATACGAGACCTGAGACACACTACCTTATCTCCGGGTTGTTTACAGAGCAAAATAAGACCTCTGACAGCACGCGATCCATCAACTGGGTTCACTACACGTCTCTTCACTGTTGTTGAATTTCCGTGTTGGCAGAGGATAACGTAACGATAACTTAATCTAAATTAACTTAACCTAACCTAGCTTACCTAGCCTAACTTGACCTAACCTAGCTTACCTAGCCTAACTTGACCTAACCTAGCTTACCTAGCCTAACTTGACCTAACCTAGCTTACCTAGCCTAACTTAACCTAGCTTATCCTAATCTAACCTGACGTTATTATTCTTGTAACATATAACTGCAAATAATTAAGACTAAACGTTGACTTATAACCCCTAAAAGTTAACAATATGACCGGGAAATAATCAGATTTCTCCCTGATGACACACTACTGACACACAGATATTTACCTGAACCCCGTCACGTCAGTTAAGACACTGGCTGAACGGCTGCTGACCTCCCTGACGGCTGACGAACTTGACATAATCTTGTAAAATCGAAAAAAAAAATATCACTTCCCAAAAGTTCCTGAGTTCATCACTTGGGTCAAATCAACACACACTGAAGTATAACATTTATCTAAGTAGTGTCCGTCATGGCTCTGTTACAAGACGTTACATTGCGTTACCAAGACGATTAATGGGTTCCTGTTACTAAATTCACATGTTCTTTTTTTTTGGGGGGGGGGGGTTTATTGTCTTCTTTAATTACACTTTATTCGTTATTAGTCGATGTTGAGAGGGTGTTTAGGAATGTGTCCCCCGTTGTGATGCGTAAGTGAGGTCTGGCAGCCGCGTTGTTGTGGTGGTGGAGGGAGTCACATGGTCTAGCTGAAGCTGGAGCGGCACGCGGCCTGACCCACACCTCGGACGTCACCACCAACACTGACTCCCTCCCTCCCTGACTGCTCTCCTTCTTCCTCCCTTACCGCCATTCCCTCCCTCACCGCCAACCCTCCCTCACCGATATTCCCTCCCTCACCGCCAGTCCCTCCCTCATCGCCACTCCCTCCTTCACCGCCACTCTCCCCTCGCCACTCTCCCACTGTCACTCCATCCCTCAACCCCTACTCCTCCTCACCGCCATTCCTCCTAACCACCACCTCCTCACCGCCACTCCCTCCCTCACCGCCACCCTCCCTGTCGCCACTCCCTCCTTCACCGTCACTCCCCTCCCCCCACCTTCATTCCATCCTCAACCCCTACTCCTCCCTCACTGCCACCCCCTCCCTCATCACCACCCTCCTTCACCGTCACTCCCTCCCTCACTCCCATTCCATCCCTCAACCCCTACTCCCTCCCTCACCGCCACTCCCTCCCTCATCGCCACTCCTTCCATCACCGCCACTCCCTCCCCACAGTCACAGGTAGATGGACCTTCTGGTAAAGAGACAGATACCCCCCCCCACCCCAACTAAGGCCCCAAAGCTTAATAGTTTGACCCGTAACAGTTCTCAACCGATCTCCTCTGGCGGCAGAAACTGGGTCCAGCGCTCACTCACTTGTACACACACGTTATCTCTGTACCTTCCTAGCAGCAGCCGCGTGTGACTAAAGGTCTGCTTGTCTTTATAACCGGTTTAGAATGCTCTCGTCTTTACCGGTTATGAAATTTACCTTGACTATCTTCATCATGGTCTCGTGGTGTTTGTGTCCTCGTCTCGTGGTGTTTGTGTCCTCGTCTCGTGTGTCCTCGTCTCGTGGTGTTTGTGTCCCTCGTCCTGTGGTGTGCTCTGTGTCCCTCGTCCTCTGTGGTGCTCTAGGTCCCCGTCTTGTGGTGCTAGGTCCCTGTCCCCTGCAGGTTTGTATCCCCGTCCCCGTGGTGCTCCAGGTCCCTCGTCCCGTGGTGTTTGTGTCCCTCGTCCTGTGTGGTGGCTTCAGGTCCCTCGTCTCGTGGTGTTTGTGTCCCTGTCTTGTGGTGTTTGTGTCCCTCGTCTCGTGGCAGTTTGTGTCCCTCGTCTCGTGGTGTTTGTGTCCCTGTCTCAGAGGTTTGTGTCCCTGTCTCGTGGTGCTGTGTCCTGTCTCTGTGGTGTTTGTGTCCTCGTCTGTGGCGGTTTGTGTCCTCGTCTCGTGGTGTTTCAGGCTCGTCTTGTGGTGTTTGTGTCCCTGTCCTGTGGAAAGTTCGGTGTCCTCGTCTCGTGTGTTTGTGTCCCTCGTCTTAGAAGTTTGTGTCCTCGTCTCGTAGTGTTTGTGTCCTCGTCCCGTGGTGTTTGTATCTTCGTCTCATTAGTATTATGTTTGTGACGATGATGATAAGTTACCAAGTCATGTTGCTATTTATATTTACATATTGGTATATGACATATTCATTCACTCTTTGTTCTGCTATTTATCGCCTCTCTCTCATAGGTGCAGATCTCAGAGTAAGGAGGCGTGAAATGCGTTGATTGATGTCTGTGAATTATTATCAGGACGAGTCTGGAGTCTCGATACCATCTTTGTTGCCAACTATCTATCTTTCTCTGTCCGTTAGTGTCTGTCTGTCTGTGGTTTTCTGTCTATTTGTATGTTTGTTTTTATGTCTCTTTGTCTGTGTCTGTCTGCCTGTCTGTCTGTCTGTCTATTTTTATGTTTTTCTATCTCTTTGTCTGTGTGTTTGTCTGTGTTTGTTTTTGTCTGTTTGTCTGTCTATCTGGCTGTATGTTTTTCTGTCTCTTTGCCTGTCTGTGTTTCTGTCTTTGTCCTTTTTCTATACATCATTTACTTTATTTCATATTTTGGGCCAAGATTCAGTTGCTGGGTAATTCGTGGCCGTAATGACACACGGAAGATTTTATCTATTCAATGATATTATTCGCTAACTATGGGTTTCCCAGGTGTGATTTTGGTGTTTTTGTGTTATTATGGAAGTGTTTAATTAGCTAAAAAACCTTAAATTCCAATTCAGAGAGAAAAGTATATTTCTGTGTAAAATTTCTTAAGGATATCCAGTAGCACACACACACACACACACACACACACACACACACACACACACACACACACACACTAATTAACACAAGTTTCAGTCTTATCCCAGCTTAATTATCTTAGGCAGGTAATGTTTCTCTCCCTTGCCTATTAACCAAATCTTATCAAACTTTAATTTCCTGAATGTCAGCCAATAAGCAGTGAGCTCTCTCTCTCTCTCTTTTTCTTTCTGTGTATGTATGTATGTATGTATGTATGTATGTATGTATCCCATTTTGTCTATCAATCCGTTTATATTTTATTATCTCCATCTCTCTCTTTATCTCTCCTTTTTCTCTCCTCACTCTTACTCTTGGTGGGGGAAAGGGGGCGGTGTGTGTGTAGGTAAAGGATGCTTCCCTTCATAACCTAACCTAACCAACAGACGCCCACCACCACCACCCTTCATAACCTGACCGGAAATGAAACAGTGTCAGCCATGTTTAGTGACCACGCGCACTCACCGCCATCCATGATAACAAGTCGAGAGAAAAAGTGGTGTCATCTTAGCTGATAAATAAGAATACAATTTCCTGTAGTCACCCCCTACACCCACACCCACTCCCCCCCCCCCTCCCCCTCCCCCTATCATTCTCATGCCGACAGTGTAGGGGAGGAGAGAGGGGCGTCAAGATGCCCTTCATATCTTAATAATGGGGGGGGGGGGGGGGACCTAGTCTTGTTTCTGTGTCTAGCTGAAGGTTCGTCTTGTTCCTACGTTTAGGTGTCAATGCGAACCGTGACCTAAAACCTGCAGGTTGGCGACTGCCGCTGGGAGCCCTGTCAGCCGTCACGCGACCATAAACGGGATTTCTCATCAAGCCAACTTTATGAGCCCGTTTGAAGAGGACCTGCTCCGGGCTTTTATGATTTCGCCAGGAACCTGTAAATTTTTTCCTCGGGTTTGGAATGTTTACTTCAGTATTATACAAAAAATCCGGAAAAAATGCTGAAAAAATTCGTTGAGGCAGCGTTTATATTTTCTTCAAGATCACGTTTTACTTTTCTTTCTTTCTTCCCCCCTCCCCCTCTCTGTCTGTTTATCTGTCTCTCTGTCTCTCTACATATCTTTCTCCTTCCTCTGATTCATAGCCAAAAGCAAATCCTCCCCGTATCTCTCTGTCCACCTCTCCCTACTCGTCATATGGCAGAATGCGATGAACCGTTGAACAGAATATCATTATTTATGTGATGTATGTTTAGAAAGCACACAAAAAAATAGTGCCACATACCTCACACCTGCCACACACCTCAACACCTGCCACACACCTCAACACGTGCCACCACACTTCAACACGTGCAGCACACAGCTCCATGTTGACCACACCTTCTACGCACCTCAAATCCCAACCCCATAGCAACATTTACCAAACCCCATCACACACTATACTGCTGGGAAACTGACAGCTACACCCGACACAAGCAGCGGCAAACTGTTCGCTCTTTTGTTCTAGTCTGGACTCTATCGAGAGACGAGAAGAATAACAATATCGAAGCTTTTTATATACGTGGACTCGTCGACGATTTTTTGACAAGTGTGTCAGGAAAACTTAAAGAAAGAATCAGTCACCACGGGGTTAAACTCTACTAAAAGACGAAAGTGATCCAAGTTCATCAATCAGAAGTAGGAACAAGTCTTTCACCAGCACGAGATCATGTAACTTGGTAGAAGCGTCAATTGTCCAACAATGTTGGATATACCAATAGAGGCGAATCCAGGGAGGAAGGCCCAGGACAGGAAGGACCAGGTCAGGAAGGACCAGGACAGGAAGGACCAGGACAGGAAGGACCAGGGAGGAAGGCCCAGGACAGGAAGGACCAAGGACCAGGGAGGAAGGCCCAGGACAGGAAGGCCAGGTCAGGAAGGACCAGGACAGGAAGGACCAGGGAGGAAGGGCCCAGGACAGGAAGGACCAGGACAGGAAGGACCAGGACAGGGAAGGACCAGGAGGCCCAGGACAGGACCAGGGAGGAGGCAGGACAGGAAGGAGGACAGGCCAGGACCAGGGGAGGACAGACAGGAAGGACCAGGAGGAAGGCCCAGGGAGGAAGGACCAGGACAGGAAGGACCAGGACAGGAAGGACAGGAGGAAGGCCCAGGACAGGAAGGACCAGGTCAGGAAGGACCAGGGAGGAAGGACCAGGACGGGAAGGACCAGGGAGGAAGGCCCAGGACAGGAATGACCAGGACAGGAAGGACCAGGGAAGGACCAGGACCAGGACAGGACAGGAGGAAGGACCAGGATGAAGAAGGACCAGGACACAGGAAGGACCAGGTCAGGAAGGACCAGGTCAGGAAGGACCAGGACAGGAAGGACCAGGACAGGAAGGACCAGGACAGGAAGGATCAGGACAGGAAGGACCAGGTCAGGAAGGACCAGGACAGGAAGGGGGGACAGGACAGGAAGGACCAGGACAGGGAAGGACAGGAAGGATCAGGACAGGGGAAGGACCAGGACAGGAAGGACAGGGAAGGAAGGAAGGACCGAAGGAGGACTGAAGGACCAGGACAGGAAGGACCAGGTCAGGAAGGACCAGGTCAGGGCAGGACAGGAAGGACCAGGTCAGGAAGGACCAGACAGGAAGGATCAGGACAGGAAGGACCAGGTCAGGAATGACCAGGACAGGAAGGACCAGGTGGGAAGGACCAGGACAGGAAGGACCAGGACAGGAAGGACCAGGACAGGAAGGACCAGGACAGGAAGGACCAGGACAAGAAGGACCAGGACAGGAAGGACCAGGACAGGAAGGACCAGGACAGGAAAGACCAGGACAGGAAGGACCAGGACAGGAAGGACCAGGTCAGGAAGGACCAGGACAGGAAAGACCAGGTCAGGAATGACCAGGACAGGAAGGACCAGGACAGGAAGGACCAGGTCAGGAAGGACCAGGTCAGGAAGGACCAGGACAGGAAGGACTACCAATATGAAGGTTACA